GAACATAAGCTGTCATCACAGAGGCAGATGCATGAACATAAAGTGGTGCACACAATCCACAGTTTACTCACTTTTAGGCTGCATCACTCATTAATAAGTAAATAAATAATCCTGAAATATGACGCGGGATTCACATGAAAGGCTTACTCGTTTTGAAGCTTTAACAAAGCTTGGCTGTTTATAAATCACTTCATTTGCTCTTTTAAGGTTACCTCCGGTTGAAATGAAGAATGAAACGAGATTTTAATATGCAACCAAGCGCCCATTCCAAACAGTGGTTGTCAAAGCTACCACTGTACAAGACAAAATAGGACCATTTCCTCTCTCAGTGCTTTAGCGCATATGCACATTGGTCTCGCAAGTGTAATTAAACTGATAACGACGTCGTCTGTTATGGTGAGGCAATCATTTCCTCCGCTCGGCGCTCAGACGGGCTACAGTCGTACAAAACTACATTGCCCATTAGAATTTCGGGGGCATTTTGGCTCCTTTTGAAATTCAGAATTTCACACTGTTGCTTTTCAATTAAGTAAGAAAAAATACCTGCAAACGTTCTGTTAGCATAAAGCACCTTCTGTCGTGCAAAAGTTTGGGCACCCCTGGTCAAATTACGTTTTGTTAACTTTCTAAGTGAAAATAAGTTAATACATCCTCCACACTTCTGCACAGTTTGATTAACGGTTTTTGATGTTGCTGCTGTTGGAACAAAACCTTGCATCTCCAAAATGGTAACTTTACAGGAGAAGGAAAAAACATACTTTTAATGTGAGTCAATGGAACCAGACTTTTTGATCAAGTCATTTTGGCCCATTTCTTTTGATCCATTCATCCGGAAATTTACACACAATGTAAAAGGCAAGAAGTTTTTTTTGTTTATGTCATAAAGATCAAGGTTTTGATCAGACAGCAGCGATATATGTCAAAACATGAAAAAAAAAATGTATGCAAAAGTTATGACACATTTTATGTTGTACAACCCTGTTTCCAAAAAAGTTGGGACACTGTGCAAAATGTAAATAAAAACAAAAATTCAATGACGTGCAAATCATTTAAACTCTATATTTCATTGAGAATAGTACAAAGATCATGGCCAGCAAATACTGGTTTTTGGCCTTGTCCCTTAAATACAGAGACTTCTCCAGATTCTCTGAGCCTTTTAATGTTATTATGTACTGTAGATGATGAAAAGCAAATGTTTTTTGCTATTCTACGTTGAGAAATGATATTCTTGAATTGTTGTTCATTTGTTCATTTGTTCATTTTTACCTCTAAAGACTCAGCCTCTCTGAGATGCTTTTTTATACACAGTCATGTTACTGACCTGTTGCCAATTAACCACCAGGTGTTTTTTTAAGCATTACACAACTTTACCAGCCTTTTTTTGCCCCCTGTCCCAACTTTTTTGGAATGTTTTGCTGGCATCAAATTCAAAATGGGAAAATATTTTTCAAAAAACAATAAAAATTTCTCGGTTTCAACATTTGATATGTTGCCTTTGAAGCATTTTCAATAAAATACAGGGTTTAATTGATTTTTATTTACATTTTGGACAATATTCCAACTTTTTTGGAAATTGTTGTATGTTTGTTTTTCCCCAATATTTTAAACTCAGTAAATAAAGTTTCCCCTGAAGATGTGCACTAAAATTTGCAGAAAAATGCCACATTTAAGTTCCCTGCAGATGACGTCACAACTTAATTTTACTTAATTTTAAAATAAAAAAACCATGTAATTTCACGGGGCGTTGAAACGTTTGCATACAACTGTATGTACTTGTGTCTTCACGGATATGAAGAGCAGGTCTACTTTTAGAAGCACATGGTGGTTTAGCTAAAGTGTCTTACCTGATGTCTCATTGGTGATGGATTCTCTCATTCTCATGTCTTCTTTAACTCAGTAAAATTATAAAATATAATAAAATCTGTCCCCAGAGCAGGCATTATGTGTGCATTTCCATGTTGGTCATAAAAAATGGATCAGCATGTGGAATTTCCTGTGTGCTACCATGTTTTCTGTCACTTTATAAAAGAAGCTCCATGCTGCCTGTACTGTTGGATGCGCTGCAACATTTTCTGAGCTGTCGAATTCAGAATTCATGTCAAACACTTATTATTGTTTTGCTTCATCAGAGTAGTATTAAATTAGAATTAGTGTAGTATTACATTATTATTAGATGATGAAGTGTAAATTATATTCCTCTTCACAAGTTTCTTTCCTCAAAATGGTTGTTTGTGACAAACAAAATAAATATCTTCCAATTTTCTGCGCGTTAGACTGAGAAATTCCATTATTAAAGGAGCTGCTTTGTGCCTCAGCATTAAAGGGTTAAACCCCTGAAAGTTACTCATGAGTGCTGAGGAGTGCTGACATCACAACAATATTTCTCACAAAACAATAAAACTGACCTGCTCGGTCTTTATATGAGGAGTTATTAAAAACTGCCTAGGTCTCTAGGTGTCCCCAGACTGTTGACAGGGAGTGTACATCAGGATGGAAAGCGAGAGATGACTCAGTTCTACATTCCTGAGGGGTTTTGTTTTCTTTCTTCCTCCCTCCTTTTAATTACTCCTTCTCCCGTTGCTCTCTTAGGGCAGAGATTCCACTCCTTAAATCTCCAAAGGCTTCAGCTCTCAGAGAGGTGTGTAGTGTTTTAAATCAGGGGTTATCTACATTGCCTGTGTGCCTCTGTCAAGGCTACTGATAGAATTACTCCCGAAGGCTGGTTTTATTCTGTGCTGAGCTATCTCGAGCCAGTAATTGAGATTGTATCTCTTAAAGCAGTGTTTCCACCTCCAGTCCTGTAGTCCACCTGCACTGCACAGCTTCATCTTTTTCCCACATCTCATTAGTTAGTCCTTCATGAGTCGAGTCAGGTGTGTTAATGCAGAGAAAGATTAAACTGTACATTGCAGGTGGGCTACAGGACTGGAGATTAGAAAAACTGTCTTTATGGGGAATTCTATATGGGGAATTCTATACAAGGTAATGCAAAATTAAATGGTTAGGTGCCTTGTAGAGAATCTAACAGAGAACTGTTCACAGTGAAAGTGATAGGAAGCATACGTCCAACATATTTAATGCCTCCAAAAGCTGATGCCTGAGATATTGTTTTATGACAGTTTTACATTTTTAAAGAATGCATGGCAGAGCGGTACATGCAGGGTGTTGTGAGGCGTACTGTCCCCAAAGATTTTTTTCCAGATTAACCACTATTTACCATCATCAACATCACATATAAAAACTCCAAAGACATGTGCAGGTTCACTGGTTACTTGGGGTAATAAGAAAATAGCTATTTTTGTTTTGTAGACATCACGACTCCTGGTTCCTATCACCACCACCCTGAAGACGTCATGGTAGGAAAAGTTGTTGAGTTTCTCTGCAACACATCATTTCACATCAAACCACTTTGAACGACTTTGTTTACATCTCAACAATTGACTCAAGACAGACATTTTGAATGGAATTCCCCTTTAAAGGAACACTCCAGCTATTTTATAAACCTTCGTCTGGTTGAATCTGTAACATAGGGCTGATTACCACAGAGGGTCATTTTGATACATTGCCCTTATTCAGTACTTAGTGAAAAACAAAATGTTCAGTTCAACTTTTCTTCTGAAACTGGATTTTTTTTTAATGAAAAAAAGCCAGCCGACATGTTTCCACGGTTGCATGTAGACTGGTTGATTGATGTTATTGTCATGTTGAAGGTGCCGTTTGTAAGATTTTTAGTTTAAAACGTCCCAAATTAACTAAAATTATCAATAAAATGTGAAGAAATAACAGTTAAGACATCCATGTCTCATGTTGCAGAGATATCTACTGAAGTTAACATGCTGTCCAGCTAACCCTGGCCCGTCCTGTCTCGTAATACCATTTTGTACCTCAAGAGGCGACAGTGAGTCACTGTAGCTTTGACTATGCCATCAGCCCAACATGAGAGGAAGTAGTACTGCCCCAAGATTGTGCTCTAACCTCTCGTCAATCGTAGTAACTAATTATAGAATTGTTATAGACCATTTAAGGACAGGTAGCCAATGAAAGGAACAGTAAATGCAACAATGGCTGAAGCTCCATAACCACCGCTGTCTGCTTTAGAAGCAAAACAAGTTAACATCAGCATTGCTTTCTACTGCCACACAGTTTTTCCACAGTTTGACGCTGAATTTGCAACTTTTCTTCTAGACTGGTAAGTAAACAGCTGTTAATGTTAATATTGGCTATTTACTGATAGCTTATAAAAGTAGCTAACTGTCTTAAGTTACTAAGAGTGTTAATATGTTTGCTGAGTTAGAGGAGGGACTGTGCATTTCTTAGTGTCTTATGATAGGGGTGGACACCGCAACTTTCTGGTGATATGTTACCCCCTATTCGTTTGGAGTGTGGAGTATTTGACAGGTTGCGTCCTCTTACATATTGCTCCTTTAAAGCAATATATGCATTAGCTCATTGTTAAGATATGACTTACTAGTTACTAGTTAAGATATGACTTAATTAGCTGTGGTGCAACCGAATTCTGTAAAATGATAGTTTGAAACTAACTAGTGTTAACTAAGGACTTAGTAAATACTTTATGCACAGATGTAACTACAAACTTACATAAAACTGGTGCAACCCAGTTCTGTTAACTACTATAAGCCTTTATGGTTTAAGAGCTGAAGTGAAGGGGATCTAACTGCATTCAAAAGTAACTGCAAAAGGATGGAATACAAAATGCATTGATTCATATTCTAGGAATGGGAAGCAATTTGAGGGATTAGGTTATTACAGAGATTTGATTTTCTTTCCACCTGAAAATAACCACTTTCTTCACCTTCCCTCGTCTGAGCAAATCACTGTGAGTGACATGTTTTCCTCTTGCCAACCAGTTGATGTGTTTATGCGCTAACCAAAAAATGAATGAGGGGGAGAGAGAGGGAGAGAGTGAGTGTGTTTATTCATTTTGTATGTGTATGTGTTTGAGAAAACAGGTCTACAATGTCAGAGCTGCAAGCACTCACCTTGGTTGCAGGTTTTTCCAGTGAAGCCAGGGTGACACTTGCACTTGTTGGGTCCAACGCAGTCTCCATGCTTGCATCCGTGCTGACACAGTGCTGCAGGCATTACCATAGGGGGCAACAGTCAATGACAATCACTAACGTATGCTAGAATTCAAACATTCAACAGTAAATACTACACTGACCGGCCACTTCATTAAGTACACATTCCTGTACCTACATTTTGTCCATTTTATCAGCTCTACTTACCACATAGGTGCACTATGTAGTTCTACAATAACAGAATGCAGCCCATCTGTTTCTCTACATGCTTTGTAGCCCCCTATCACCCTGTTCTTCAACGGTCAGGACCCCCACAGGACCACCACACTCAGGTATTTTTTGGCACTGATGTGGTGGTGGCATGTTAGTGTGTGTTGCGCTGGTACAAGTGGATCAGACACAGCAGTGCTGCTGGAGTTTTTAAACACCTCAGTGTCACTGCTGGACTGAGAACCAAAAACATCCAGCCAACAGCATCCTGGGACCACTGATGAAGGACTAAAGTATGACCAACACAAACTGTGCAGCAACAGATGAGCTACTGTCTCTGACTTCACATCTACAAGGTGGACCAACAAGGTAGGAGTGTCTAATAGAGTGGACAGTGAGTGGAACAGTGTTTAAAAGCTCCAACAGCACTGCTGTGTCTGATCCACTCCTACCAGCACAACACACACTAACACACCACCACCATCAGTGTCACTGCAGTGCTGAGAATGATCCACCCCAAATAATACAATGGTCAGGACACTCACAGTGGTCCTGTGAATGTCCTGACCATTGGAGAACAGAGTAAAACAGAGTAAAAGGGGGCTAACATGGTATGCAGAGAAACAGATGGACTACAGTCTGTAATTGTAGAACTACATAGTGCACCTATATGGTAAGTGGAGCTGATAAAATGGACAAAGAGTGTAGATACAAGGAGGTGTATTTAATCAAAATGACCAGCAGGTGTATACTTCATAACATGAAACCATCATGGCATGACACAGCTTCACCCAGCACAAGACTAACTCTATTAAACATTCAAACACTGCTGTTATAGGAAAAGGAGATATGGTGCAGTAAAGTGGAAACCATTGAACAACTGGGTTTTAAGTGAGGGGAATTATGGAAAGATTTCAACAAAAACATACATTTGGATCATTTCCTCCTTTCATCAATAATTCATTGCTTTCCTTTGGTCAGTTTTAATGGCCCTGGGCCATAAGGAGTGCACACTATTCAACACTTCAACTTTATGAGTCATTACATCTGTCGTTTGGATTGGTACGCAGCCCAGAGCTGTACCCATTAAGAATCTTCTCAGCTCTAAGACGGCTTCAGATCTGAAGTAACACAGACATAATGCAACTTCAAGCACTGGTGCCTTTGAGCCTTAGCTACACACCGCTGCAGAAGATAGAGAGTGAGCAGCTTGTATGGTCCGTGCCAGCTACCCACAAGAGAAGAATAAATCTGAACTATTCTATTTAAAGGGGCTATTCTATTGAAAGAATATTTCAAATGGAAATGAAAGGTAGAAAAATCAACTCTGGACTGTGTGGCGTTTGAGACTGCATGGTGATGGACAGTGGTATAGCCATGGTAGTGAAAAAAAACATGATCTGGGTGAAATATTTGATTACTGATATAAAGTTAAACTCCAGGAGTGACTCCAGTTTGTGGATGGAAGCACTTTGGGGCAGCTTGGAATCTAACTGGACTTGGCATAAGATAACATGCTACTTTACCTTCAGTGTGCTTAGGGCCTCGTCAGCTTTAACTAGAAAGCAGTGGCTTATTTAGGCTAGTTAGTTACAGTAGCCTTGACAGATACTTGACTGATAAGGACTGTTAATGATGTAGCCTTATAAATAAGAGAAGCCAAATTAATATCACAAAGACATTTCCAGGATACATTAAACGTATCATTGTGTTTCATTTTTCTGATGTTTGTAAACAACTTAGAATGGACAAATGCACAAAAAGCACCAGCAGAACAGTCAAGTGTCTTTTAGAAAAGGTTATGAGTACACTGGGTCAATATATACTGGCTGTTGTTGTTTACAGGCTCTCTATAACTGGTCTAGTCTGTCTTTTTTAATAATACATGCAGTTGTTCAGTATACTAGATGTACTGACGATGCCCAAAATACACTGAGAAAAGTGTACTGTCATGTCATTTATCACAATAATGCTAATATTTTATTGTATTGCCAGATTCTACTTATAAATATTAGCAAAGGAGTCTCATAAAAACATGATGGTTCATGATAAGTGTGTTTCCCACATAAATATAGACCCACAAAGCAAACTTCTGGCTATTGTACCTCTGTAGATGGACTGGCCAAGACTAACAGCAATTTAGCCCATTCCTATCCATTCAGAACTGAAACTGCATTTGTTTCTTTTGTTTTTATTTTTGTTCACAATGAATTACATTATTTCATTTGGCAAAGCAAACAAAATCAGGGTTCGATCTCTTCTTTCAAAGAACGAAACCAAATGCTTCTCATCACGTTTGGTTTTGATTAAAAGATGTATGGCCCTGCTCCACAGCAAGGGAATAGTATTCTCTATAATGGTGCAGCAGTGGAGGAGCTGCTGGCCAAGGCAGCGGTGGCTAGGCGTCTCTGTGGGTGCTGGTGCTGCACTCACTGTGGCGCATTCACGCCGGCTTCAAGCCAACTGAGACTAATTTCCATTAAAAGCTTCATTAAGTCTGTCATAATACTGGCCTATCAGAGCCGTTAATTATGCCCGATGTGGGCATGCAGAGACAGGAAGGGGAGACAATGAGGGGCAAGCAGGCCAGCCGCCTCCATCTGCCCACACATGGTCCAAACAAACATCGAGAGTGGCTGCTGAGCGTCGTGAGGAGACAGACAGGTGGAGCATCCACACAATGCTGCTCCGCCAATGCATTCTGTATTCACACTGACAAAAACAACAGCAGCCCTGATAATAAAACCAAGGCTGGTAATGGACACAGCGGCCCACAGCGGCTCTTTGTTCCGCCGTCATATTTCCGATGCCGGTGCAATCACTCAGCACCCGAGCACTTCGGCAAAGGCATCAAAACAACGGACTGCTTTCCTTCCTTATAATCAGAAAGCGCAGACGTGAGACCCCGCTATGTAATTATTTGATCAGCGATTAGGGGACAGCCGGAGGCAAAACCCAAGCTTTGTGCATGAGCTTTGGAGTTGAAAGCCAGGCGGATATCGATTTTCTCCTGCTGGACGCAGTTCGCGGCACATTCAAAAGCACAAAGGCATCAGGCCTGATTCTTTGAACTCAGGTAGATATGAATTACTTGGTTTCATTTCACCTTATTAGCCCATGTAAGCTAATCACAGAGCAGTGTTCACCTTGCTTTTAACCTGTGACATTTGATAGGGGTGTTGGGCAGTGTGCAGTGAAAGTCACCAGATTAGCCCCCCCTGCCCCCAAACTCCCCCAGGTTAAAACATAAAAGGACAACCATGAGCCCTAATTTGGTGCCAAGACTGTCAAGGGACAAATCCAGCAGGCAGCAAAAGCTGTGACATTGAGAGTCTATCCAGGTCACTGCCTTATCTGGGCAACCAGTCGGCTATCAAACGCGATGAAATCATGGATTAGTTCTGGAGATGCTGCCCGCTCACGGGTTGAGGTGTTATATTTTTAAGCACCGGAGCATCAGCAGGGGGGTTTTGAGCGGGCTGCGAGTGCGTAAGGGGAGACCTACGCCTCAGAGAAATGCCGACCGCTTGAAACACATACGCCACAGACAAGCCCTGCCAAGGGAAATACCCTGCAGTGACTAACCACATCAGTTAGCCCCAGTGGCCTAAAAACAACCAGCATCCCTCTTCCCCCACAACAGCCCCTCATGCTGGGTGAAGCCTCGTACCCTAAATACCCTCCTGAGCAGCTGCGGAGCAAAGCAGCTTGACTGCAAAGCCCAAAACATGTGAATGTGACCTAAATATGTTACCGATATCACTGGAAAAAAAAGATATTAAACCGGGAAGAGACACATTTACTGCTACTCAGGAGCTGTCAGAATGAATTTCACTGTTACAATGTCGTCTGAAAGCGAGGAAAATAATTAGGATGCCAACAATGCCTGAGTATGCAGTTAGCAAGAAGACTGCGCCACAGGTGGCAATTTGAGTGAACAGAATTCATCACATTTCTGACTCTGAAAGGTTAAATAGAAGGAAAGTGAAGCTCAATTATCATTAAAATGATAGTTAAGTGAAGAACAGAACGTACACAGTTTTTCCTCTCACCTCAAAGGTAGCTGATCAGCCAAGATCAAAGGTTTCTAACACTGTATAATCTACTGTTATTGATGCTCTGATGAGGGAATTGTGGACTGATGCTGACATCTGAAATGTTATTACTTCATGCACATACAGTCATGTGCAAAATGTTGGGTGCCCCATGGACAAATAAGCACACATCCATCCATCCATCCATCCATCATCTAAACCGCTTATCCTTCTGGGTCACGGTGGGGTGCTGGAGCCTATCCCAGCTGTCATCGGGCGGAAGGCAGGATACACCCTGGACAGGTCGCCAGTCCATCGCAGGGCAGACAAACAGACATATACATCCACACACACCTAGGGGCAATTTAGCACGTCCAATCAGCCTGACTGCATGTTTTTGGACTGTGGGAGGAAACCGGAGTACCCGGAGGAAACCCACGCAGACACGGGGAGAACAGGCAAACTCCACACAGAAACGACCCTGGTCACCCGGCCGGGAATCAAACCCAGGCCCTTCGTGCTGTGAGGCAACAGCGCTACCCACTGCGCCACCGTGCCGCCTAAGCACACATCCTCTACAGATAACACACCTTTGAATATTATATATTACAATTGCTGTTTATTTGCTCAATTTAACATATAAAGATTGTGCAAAAGTTATGGCACATGTTTTTTTTTCTTCCAGTATGCTAAACTATGTTAAAAATAGAAATTTTGCACTAATATTTGCAGAACAATGCCATATTTATGCTTTCTTTTACTGATGGTTTTACTTAGAAAAGCAACAGAATGCGTAATTTGACGGGGGTC